CGGAAAGCCACTGATCAGCTTCACCACCCGAAACTGCTTCTCTATAGGACTGTGGCTCTCCTGCATCCACTTCCTCAGCAACCTGAAATGAATATGCCACCATGTCCTCGAAGCCATACCTCTGTGGAGGTAATCCTGCAGTCGCTCTCTTTGGTCTACCGGAAGCAATAGACTGTTTAGCTCGTGCACTAGACTCTGAACTTTCTGGCTCTGCAGAGACATCCTCATCATGTTGATCTTCTCCACCTTGGTGCTCAAACTCACTCTCGTTGAGAGTTTGCAGCTCCACCTGTTTATCAACATTCCTGCTACCTTCAACAACAGTAACCTTCAACATGGGGTTAAACATAGACTTCTCATCAAATATCACATTTCTACTGAGTATAACTCGATGCTCAGAAGGTGACCAGACTCGAAATCATTTAACTCCATTTCCGTAACCCACAAATACACCCTTCTTTGCCCTTGGGTTCAGTACTTCAGTTTACCCTCATCCACATGATAATAAACAGGACACCCAAAAACTTTCAGTGAAGAGTAATCAGCAGGCTTACCATACCACACCTCATAAGGAGTCCTCAACTCGATACCTGTGTGAGGTCCACGGTTGATCAGGAAGCACGCCATGTTCACTGCTTCTGCCCAGAATCTTCTCTCTAGTCCAGCATTAGAGAGCATGCACCGTGCTCTCTCCAACAATGTCTGGTTCATCCTTTCTGCAACGCCATTCTGCTGGGGTGTATCTCTCACTGTCCGATGACGGGCAATCCCTTCATCCTTGCAGAATTCGTTGAACTCAGAATTACAGAACTCCAGACCATTGTCCGTTCGCAGCTTCTTGATCTTCTTCCCGGTCTGATTCTCCACCAATGTCTTCCACTGCTTGAACTTCGTGAAAGCCTCACTTTTCTGCTTTATCATGAAAATCCAAGTAAATCTCGAATAATCCTCAATAATAGACAGAAAATACCTGCTGTCTCCAATGGATTCAACTCGTGAAGGACCCCAACAGTAGGAGTGGAGGTAATCCAGTATCCCCTTCATCCGGTGGATACCCTTCTTGGGAAACTTGCTGCGATGTAGCTTCCCAAACACACAATGCTCGCAGAATTCCAAATTCTGCACCTTGTGCCCGCAAAGAAGATCCCTCTTCGATAGAGCTTGCATACCCCGTTCACTCATATGCCCTAGTCTCATGTGCCAAAGAGTGGTCATATCTTCCTGTTGAACCTGAGACGATGCAACTGCTGCAGAACCAGACAACACAGATCCTTGTAATGCATACTAGGTCCTACGCTTCACGCCCTTCAGCACCTTCCTTAAACCTTTGCAGACATACACTACTCCACCTTTTCCTTTGAAGCTGAAACCCTTGATGTCGAGTAGACTCAAGGAGATCAGGTTCTTTGTCATTCGTGGAACATGCCTGACATCATTCACGGTACAGAACGAACCATCATGTGTCCGAACCTTTATGACCGATTCCAACAACCTTGCAGACAGCTCCATTAGCCATGACCACGTTACCACCATCTATCTGCTCGTAGGTTGTGAAGAAATCCCTGTTCGGAGACATATGGTATGAGGTTGCAGTATCCAGAAACCACACATCACCACGATGTGCCTTCTCATCTACAGCCAAGGCGAGATCGTCTTCAAAACTGTTGTCCACTTCTGCCACGACAACTGAACCTTGTTTCTTCTGTTGCCCTCTTCTCTTGGGACAGTTGTACTTCCAATGCCCCACTTCCTTACAGTTGTGACAAGCATCACCTGGCTGTGGACCGGGACCCTTGGAATTCTTGTTCGAATTCCCTTTACCAGATTTCTTCTTTCCCTTTCCACCTGTAACAGCCAAACCCGATGCCTCACCACCTGTACCAGAACCAGACGCCTTATGCCTGATCTCTCTCGTATGAAGAGCAGATCTGACATCCTCCAACGACATGCTTTCTTTACCAGCAATAAAAGAATCAACGAAATTCTCATATGAACTCGGCAAAGAAACCAGCAGGATTAGGGCAGCATCCTCGTCATCAACTTGAACATCTATATTACGCAGGTCCAACAAAATAGAGTTAAGCTGTTCGAGATGTTCACTCAAAGGCATACCTTCTTGCATCCTCAAGCTGAACAACCGTTGCTTGAGATGCAGCTTGTTGGTTAGAGACTTTGTCATATACAGACTCTCCAGTTTCAACCACAAGCCCGCGGCAGTCTTCTCAGCAGCGACTTCAATGATGACGTCATCAGACAACGATAGCATGATAGTCGAGTGGGCCTTCTCCTCCAGGGTATTCCACTCATCGTCATCGATCGCTGACTTCTTCTGTTTCGCAGACAGCGGCCCCCACAGCCCTTGCTGTTTTAATAAAGCCTGCATCTTGATCTGCCATATAGCGAAGCTGTTCTTCCCCGTGAACTTTTCGATCTTCATGTTCACTGACGTCATTCTTCTGAATCGAAAACCCTAGCCTGATTTCCAGCCGCGGCTCTGATACCACTTGTTATAAACGCGCTGCTACGGATCCGGAAATCGCCGGAATCGACAAAGCAAGAATACGAAAGCGAGAATCGAAAACACAGACACACGATTTACGTGGTTCACTAACACGATGTGTGTTAGCTACGTCCACGGCGAGAGAGAGTCAGTTTCACTATATCGAGGAGATTACAGAGGAGTATGAGAAGTATTTATAGTACTTCTCCATGTGGGTCTAAACCTAATCCAATCTGGCAAAGGAAACGGTTACCAGTCGTAGCGGCTGATAGTCCGATTCAAGTCACATCAACAAATTCAGATCAACGATAATTTTCCAAAATTTAGTGAGTCGCTCTACGTTGCAGAGCAGATTTGTGGGGAAGGAGTTGCAATGAGATTGAAAGTCCAAAAGGAAGTTACGATGAAAGAGAGGGAAAGAAAAGAGCAAGAACATCGGGCCTTAGCACAGAAGGCTAGAGCAGAGAGAACAGGGACAATAGCCCAACCTTTAGAGAAAAGTCGCATGGATGATATGGACAGGAGAGGCGATTATGATTAGGGGTATTCAAATGGTTACAATGATAATTAACAAATCAAACAAACCAAAATTCTATACAATATCGTAACCAAATCGTCCAAACTAATACAATAACCAAATTAAAGTTTAATCGGTTTGGTTAATTGGTTAACCAAATTAACAAATATAACATCACATTATCATTAAGTGAGAAAATTTTCGGTTAATGCATCAATTCACAATTTATATGATGAATTAAACATTACAATGTATATGAGAAAATATATGTCAGTTAAATTAGTCTCTTAGCAATTATAATAGGTTGAAAAATAACTTTTTCAAGTTTTCATCTAATATATTGTATGAGTTTTTATCTAAATTGGGCGTGAATATATCATGGTCTACACTCTATAAATTTAAATATACAGTCAATGTTCAAGAAGACGTTTGGCGCTATCTAGGTGAGGAGGCACCACCCAGTGCACAGGCTGATTAGTCGTCGCCTAGGCGAGATTAAACGGCGGCGGGATGTAGAGGAGGAGCCGCCGGAGAGGATGAAGACGATGACTGAATCTTCTCCTTTCGGCTGCGATGGTGGCAAGAAAGGCGGCAGAATGCAGAGGACGAGCTGCTGGCGAGAATGAAGACGCCGACAGAAGCTTCCCCTATCGGCTGCGATGGTGGCGACGATTGCGGCTGCCGGCGTAATGCAGAGGAGAGCTGTGGATGGAAGGTGGTTGTGTAGTGTTTTGTTTTTCAACAACCACCAAAACGCAGCACTCTATCCTAAGTCCTAACCAAAACGCAGCACCTAAACATAAAATAAAATAAAAACGCAGCACTTCATCTCCTCACCTGGGCGTCGCCGCAACTGATTACTCCCGCCCAGGTCTGGTAATTGGCGATTACGCGCGCGTTTCCGGCGTCTAGGCGTTTACCCCGCCCAGATCAGTCGCTCAGGCCAACACTCCACGTTTTCCCGTCGCCGAGCGAGTAGTCGCGCCTAGGCGGCCGCGGAATCACGTCTTTTTGAACACTGTATACAGTATAGGAACAATATTGAGCTTTATTCTTCATGAGTCGAAAACTATAAGGAAGAAATGTTTGACTCTTACGTGGTTATATTAAATATTAAGTATGTGTATATAATATATATTAGATATATGGATAAATACATAACTGGTTAATTTGGTTTGATTGTTTAGGAGTGTCTAAAATCAAACCAAACCATCTAAATCAAACAAGCTAAAAAAATTAACCAAACCAAATTAACGAAACGATGATGCAATACCTGTGCGGAGTCGAGAGAGCAGAGGGAAGAAAAGCTGAAACGAGATAAGATTGGAGACGAATGGCCAAGGGGGAAAAGGCTCCAGGCGAAAGATGTTGCGATGAGGAAGAAGAACAAGGTGAAGAGAGGTCATGTATGAGTATGAGCAGAGGCTGTTCAACCAAGAGAAGGGAATGGATTCCGGATTTGCTCAGACAACTCTTTCCATGTTGCAGATGATCCGTTTGGTCTGGAGCTGTTGGCGATGGAAGTGAAGGAGGGGTAGAAAGCTAATTGGATAAGGTCGGCGGGACGGTGAGGGCTAGCTGATGCTGGTTCTGGTTGTTCAATTTGAGAAATGCTTAATATGATGGTATTGTATCAGTATTTGGCGGTCTAGATATGCAGCCAGCGAGATCATGGTCTGTTAAGTAAAGGAGTTTGTGTCCATTTCTAGTTTCTTCTTGTGAACTCGGTTTTAAATTGAATTGGATTGGATTATTGTTTTAGTCTCTCAATACGTAGTCTGATTCATTTTCAATCTAATTGTACATCAAGGTACACTCTATAGGCAACGATTCATTTTCGAGACAACCCCATACTACTACTATACTAGTGTGACTTCATTTTCGATACAAATCCATGCTAGTATGGAATTTAAGCAAAGAAATATTGATGAAATGGGTTCTTCTATGCCTGAATCATCTCATTTACCAGGAAACCAAGAATCAGTCTGCTTAACACAACTTCTATAGAGCTAAAAAAAAAAAAAAACAGAACTTCTATAGATGAAAGATGGTAAAACTGTTGTAAACCAATATTTTGTATGTAAACACCATCTCACTTTGGGGCAAAAGTACACTATTTTTATACATAATGACTTTGCTATGACATCATCAAGAAAGAGAGAGGAAACCCCTCTTATAAGACACAAAACCTAAAACCAAGATAGCTCAATCAGTTCAGTTCTCTATAATTTGAAGAGTTCATGTAGGCTGGTCTGATAACTAAACTAACCAGAGGACTCTTTTGTAACATCAGTAACCAAAAACTTTGGATGGTAAGTTCAAAAGAGGTTCCAAAGCACTTGGAGCAAACTTCCTAGCAAACAGAAAGCACAGTGTCGTCGGCTGGGTGTTATAAAGGCATGGCTGCTGTTGTCCTTCAAACCGTTTCCTGAAGAACTCCTCGGTAATGTCGGACTTCCCAAATGTAGCTGGATGGGGTCCGCCTCGTGACCAGTCTGTCCACGTTACCGTCCTGTTGGCTAACAGATGTGGCACTGTGATGCTCAACATTGTAGGGTAGTAATGCTCGTCGACATAACACGATGGTCGACAGAAGTCTCTGAACTTAGGGTAGTACTTGGTGTCTGATACTATGTGGAGGGCGAGCTTGCGGTTCACCTCGAACCATTGAGATCCTTTACGCCATTGGTTGAGTGTGACCTCGGGCTCCATGTTCGGATTGTAGCGTCCTCTTCCATATGGACCTTGTTCATCGAATGAGCCCATGAAGCTGTACCGAGATCTGGATATGTAGCGGTATACGATGCTGAAGTTTTGGAGAGGGATACATGCCTCGGAGATTAGGACGAACCATTCATTGGAGATGTCAAGCAGGGCGTTTGCCAGGAGCCTCCTCTCGGCTTCACACATGCTCATTCTGCCCCACTCTACTGTCTGCAATGAAACAAGATCTGGGTTTGTGAAATTTTGGAATGAACTAATGAAGCAAAAGATGAATAGTGGGAAGTTGGAGAGATAAGAATGAATAATGAACAGGGGGATGAGATTGCTATATACAACACAGTTTATTACTTGAACTTCCTATAATCCTAAAGCTGAGCATGGTCAAGTCTGATTCATGATCATATCGAATCGGGTAAAAAGGGCATCGGATCAGATTAAAAATTAAGAGGAAATGAGGAACATAATCATATTGTTCAGACTCATTCGGTCTACTGCCTTTATTTTTAAGGACTATGGATTTTGAACCGAATCAATTATATTGGTTTGGCTATGATTTGAACTGGAATGTTGCCGATCCTTCAAGGGAAATACAAAGTAACACTGAATCACTACACCATTGGCATAATCTCCATAGGATTGACCATTAACAATGATGTTAATCATCAATTCATTCTTGAAACAACTCTTCCAAGGAAAACTCCCCTTTCAAAAGGATTTAAAAACACAGACATCTAAACTTGCTTCAGCCAGGGACTTGGAAAATACTTGAGATTCTGAAAATTAGGGCTGCAATTATCCTTTGAAGCAAAAGCACACTTATAATATTGGTGTGCAAACAACTTCCTGAAACCAAACTTCTGTACCAGCTTCAGAGTTCTTTGGGCGACATGGTTCCTGTTGGAACAGTACAGTGACTTTCCTTTCTCTGAGGAAGGGGAAAAATGGGTAGCACATCTAAGTTCCCAACCTACACGGCTATATCCATGAATAGGGTTCTAGTAAACTAAAATAAGAGATTTTGGGATGAAATATTTTCGGACACCAGCCCTGAAACTTAATCTAACATTATCCATAAAGATCTACATTACACAATCATGGTGACTAACAGTTATCAGAAAATAGTTCAAAGCTTTGCTTACAAGAGCTTAACTCTATGTTTCCAGCTCCCTCATTGCACCAAATCACATCATTAACGTATGGTAAAAGAAGAGCAAAAGTTTACCTGACTTGGGATTTGTCTCTTGTAGAACACTGATGATGACGAGAAGTTGGACACATAATGTGGCAAGGCATGAACATAGATAGAATAAAGACCTTCCTGCCCATGGAAAAACCTCTCCCAAAGAGGCGCCAAGGGCAATGGGCCCTTTGTCAAGAACATGAACGCAATCTTCGGCACCCTTCTGAAAGGATACTCTCTGATTCGGGGAATGAACGAAGCACGCCACAACAATTCACTGTCATTCATCCTATGCATCAAATTAGCTGGAGGCCTAACCCACCTCTCTAATGAATACGGTGGTTCTTCTCTGAGGCTTGGCAAACCTAAAGGAGACGGCACCACAACTTTTTGCCTTGCAAAAGCAGCTGGTAAAGTTTGAGCTCCGAAATATTGAGTCATGAACATGGCGAGAACTGAAATTCCAAGCCCAAATGCTAGAAAGAGCAGGAGAAACTGGAGGAGTCTCAATGGCAAGGGCCTAGTTGTTGGATTGAGTCTCCCATGATCCTTGCATTCCTCCATTGCCATGCTCGATCCTTCAGTGAGACAAAGGATCGAACACCTTGTGTGTGTGAGATAAACCTTGTCCGAATACAGGCAAGTTTGTCTCTCGAGCAGATCGAAGCTCAAATAGAGAGATCCAACAAAGAGATCCCAGTTAAGGTAAGAAGCACTTCACCAAAAGGGTAGCAACAAAATCGGAATCCCTTTTAGGGAAGTGAGTTAGATATCCCCTTGTAAACAAATCAAAACCTTCCATTCCCTACCCTCTCCAAGGAACTTGTCAACTAAAAAGAACACACCCGTCAAGTATCCCTTCCCAATAAAGGAAACAGAGAACAGAGAGAGATGATAAGAAGAGGACAATCCTGCTGAGTGATGGTAAGAACTTAAAAGCCAAAAGCTTTAGCTTTGAACTAGATCCTTGGAGGAGGCTGAGTTCAGAAAGAAGGAACCTTTCGGTGAATGGGAAAGGATCATAAATCGTTCCAGGAAGTAGGGAACTTTACTTGATGTCCTTGGAGCTTATCAATGATAGGTGGATTTGAGAAGGGAGACTTGTGGAGTTAGCTCAGTTCTTGTTGTTGATGTGGGTTCTGTATATAAATGGGGAAACTGCTTCTAGTTTTGTTAGCTAGCTTTTGATGGTAATGACTGAACTGTAACAGAAAAGAGTTTGATTTAGGAATATAACAGACACACACGGCACAACAAGAGAAGAGAAGAGAAGAGAGGAGGGAGGGATGGAGCGAGGGAGGAGCTGGCGTGTGAGACAAAACAGGTAGGCTGTTGTGTTGTGTGTTGGGTGGAAAAACCTAGGCAGATAAACCTAGGCAGATATGCTTTGTTGCGGTTTGTTCAGGATCTCCTTCGGGGTTGGGAGAAGGTGGTGGGGGCGTGGGGCATTCTAAGTTTTTTTTTTTTTTTTAAAGGCATTCTAGTTTTGAAAGGTCCATACTCCATAGAAAGAGATTTTGATATGAGAGAAAATGGTACGCTAATAGGTAATTTTCTATATGGGTTACGTTGCTAATTATAAGTCAAAAAAGGAAAGTTGTTAAGGGGTCGTTTGGAAGTTAGGAGTCTAAATGAATGATTCTGTGAATGTGTGTATTCTTTACAATCTATCGTTCTTTTGACATAAACTTATCCAGAATGCATGCATTTGATTGGTACTTTAGAATCTCAAATGGCTAGAATAATTCATTTTAGAATATCTACAAAAAGGTGAGATTCTCTTGCTTTACTTTTGTAATTGCTTTTTTGCACCTCTTATTCTTATTTTTTTATATATATTTCATATTTGCCCCTTCTTTAATTGACTATATAAAGAGAACTTCAAGGTTATATAAGTCTTGTTGGTCATTAAAGTGAGAATCCTTATATTCTTTAAAAGTGAGAATCACAACTAACAAACAACATATTCTTACAATCATCACTACACTTAGAATAAATACATTGTAAGGAACACATATTCATAGACTCCCAACTTTCAAACGACCCCTAAGTTCCACCAGTACGGCTATGATTGTTACTTTACTAACCGACTTGCGAAAAGACAATGGACAAGATGTGGAAAACTTTGGGGAGTCGTTTGGAGGACATAATTTTGTCACAATATATGTGTTTTCTGAAATTTATCAAAATTTTGTCTTTGGGAATAACTCAAAAAGTGAGGATTGTGCCATTAGGAATTAAGAAAACTTTTATTGTTGTTTTTTTTTTCCAACTGTCATCTTCTCAAGAACTTTGTTACTGCTCGACGACCATCTCCTCCCAACGTCCCCGCCAATCTACGGAGAATCGCTCGGCAAATCGAGGCATTGTTGGACACATGATCTCGAGTTCTTCCTGTCTTTCGGTGGATCTGGGTTCGTGAGATCTGGATCCAATGTCTTCTCGCGTCTAGTGTCCTGGAGATAAGAGTGGTGGTGGGGAGCGTTTATCCTGATTGAAGGCACCTTTCGACCTGTAGAGAGAAGTTGTATAGATGGAGGACGAACATGCTCGTTCATCCAGAACCAGTAAGTGAGGAAGAGACATGGTCATTCATCTAACCGTCGGTACTTGCCATCTGCGCCCTGATAGACCGTTAGTTACACATGTTTTTACCCTTGCTCTTACTCCGTTTGAGGTGTTGATTCTCGTGTTTTAGGCCGATTTCACGCTAGGTTGTGTTTGTTTGTGTTATTTCAGGTCCTAGTACGTGAATAAGGGCTTAGGAGCGAGTTTGGGGTCGATTGGACGACGAACGGACGAAGGACGAGCTTGTTGGGGAGCCGCACGGCCAGACCATGGAGACGCACGGCCGTGCACTTGAGCCATATGGCCGTGCGCCTCATGCCGAGAGCTTGCACGGGCAGAGCAGAGAACCGCACGGCCGTGCAACATACAAACCTGGCCGTGCGGGTTGGTGGGAGAGCTTGCACGGGCACAATCCAGATGTGCACGGCCGTGCGCCTGGCCGTGCAAGGTGGATGAAGGCGAATAAGTGATACGGTGCGTTTTGAGGGTGCACGGCCAGAATTGTGAGGTGCACGGCCGTGCACCTGGCCGTGCAACTCGGGGAAAACTGATTTTAAAGCCTATTTCGAGCCAAACAGGGGGGGATTCGAGTTTTTGAGAGACTGAGCGGTTCCTAGAGAGAGAAAGCGACGAACAAGAGCCTCCAAGTGCCCTAGATCGATCTTCAACACCATTGGAGCTTGGTTTGAGCTTGGAGAAGTGCCGATTCAACGTCCAGGAGCAGAAATCCATCTTCACAGTATGATTTCCGCGTCTGATTCTGCTTTTGCTTCTCTCTCCATGGAGTAGTTCTCCCATTCATCTGGGTATGGGAAACCCTAGTTCTGTATGTTAGGTTTGATTGTATGAACCCAAGTATTGATTCTATGATATTGATTATATTCGATTGAGGTTTGAATGATTGAATGACTTGAATCCTGATCAAATTCCTGTTGTTTCTGCTTTAACCTTGAATGATAATATCTGCCTAGGTTGATAGAGTATCCTTAATCGAAGGTAGTGAATTGGTGACTTTAGTCGAGGAGCCAGTTCACTATTCTGTACCGGATTTTGTTCTTAGGGCCTCAATCTGTCGACTCCGGTGGAGGTTAGTCGCCCGCTAGAGAGTCAGATTGAGAGGGTCTGAAGACCTTTAGTCGAGACTTCAGGCTGTTTAAGAACCTTCCGCAGTATAATCTTCATAGAAACTGAACTTGGTAATTACAATCCGGCTTAACTGCAGACTAGGGGGAACCATATCCGGGTGACCTCTCTTAACCTGAATACAACCGTTTTAGTTACTTTGCTTGCTTGTTAGTTTAGAACCTCACTAAAGTTTCATTGCTAGATAATACGAATTCACTGAGTAGTCATCACATCTAGGACCCGGGTTGACATTAAAACCCAAACCCGCTATACTACGCTTTAGGAAGTGGTTACACTTGGCCATTTTCTAGAGTGACAGTAGAGTCGAGTCAAGTTTTTGGCGCCGTTGCCGGGGACGGCTAGGTTGTTGAAGAAAAGTGATTTCTGTTACTCTAGCTTTTCTTTTCGCTTTGTTTGCGTTGTCCCACTTGTGCCTTCACGGGTTTGCTTGCTTGAGTGTGTGCAGGTAGTGCATGACCCGTAGCCAGTCAGGAGGTTTACTGCCGTTGGATCCAGAGCTTGAACGCACTTGCCGCCAACTTAGGAGACAGCAGCGAGCTAGACTGGTTACGGGAGAGCGCATAGACGGCCACTTGACCAGCGATTCTGAGGAAGAGTACGAGATGGAGGGCGAAGACATCCCACAACCGGGGAATGCTCGACAGGTTCCCCCGGTGAATCAGCATCCACCACCACCGCCGGGTCCCACCTTGGAGTACTACTACACTCCACGGATTGCTGACATCCACCCGGTCATCCTCTATCCACCCGTCCCAGCAAATAACTTCGAGATCAAGCCAGGCTGGATTCAGCTCATAACATCCTCTATCCAGTTCCATGGCTTGAAGGATGAGGAAGCCCGGGCACACCTTTCCTGTTTTCTGCAGCTGACGAACGGGTTCAAGCTGAATGGTGTTCCGGATGAGGCAATCCGCCTTCACCTCTTCCCCCATTCTCTGGCGGGGAATGCTAAGAGGTGGTTGGAGACCCAGCCCCAGCGATGCTTTCACAGTGGGGAACTTCTACAGTGCCATCACCCCAGACAGCCAGAGGGTGATCGAGTCTCTATGCCCAGGAGGGGATATCCTTACTAAGACTCCACCCGAGCTGAACCAGATGATCAGTACTTTGGCTGCCCGCGATCATTCCTGGGGGCAGAGCAGCAGAGGCAGGCACTCCCGGGACCGTGGTGTGCATGCTATAGAGGCCAGATCCGGGTTAGAGCAGCAGGTGGCTGAGTTGGTGCAGACACTGAAGCAGCCTAACAGTCTCCTTCCGGGCCGAGGTGTAGCTGCGCCTCCAGTAGCTCAGTGCCAGTGGTGTGAGAGTCCAAACCATCTGGTGGAGGACTGCCAGGCTATGCGGGAGTCCTCTACTCCCCAAGAACAGTTGGCCTTCATCGCCAATGCTCGGCGCCTCGATCCATACAGTAACACATACAATGAGGGATGGCGCCAGCATCCCAACTTCGCCTGGAGCAACAACACCAATAAACCACCTGGTTTCCCAGCACCAGCAGGTGGTTTTCAGCAGAGGCAGCCTTTCCAGGCTAGACAGGGGCAGCCATTCCAGCAGCCCCAGCGTCAGTATGCCGAGCCAGCAGCAGCACCAGCTCCCGATAATCAGATGACCAAGCTTGAGAACATTTTGGCAGCATTCATGACCACCAGCCAGGCAAGTATCACGAGGATGGATCAGGCCATAGCTTCACTGGAGGCAGGCCAGCGAACCCTGGAGGCAGGCCAGAGGAACCAGGGTGCCATTCTGCAGGATCTCCAGCACCAGATAGGGGACTTAGCTCGCCAGAATACTACCAGGGCACCGGGGACTCTGCCTGCCACCACTGTCCCCAATCCTCGCGGCCCTCACGAGACTGCCCATGCCATTTTCACCAGGAGCAGCAGGCCTACATCAGCTGATCCTGCCCCGACCAGGCAGGAGGAACCACTACCTGCTTCAGCACTTCCAGCCGGTGATGCAGAAGTGCGGGTGGAGAAGGAAGCCCCTGCTCCCAAGCCACAACCAGTGGTGAAGGAGCATGTACCCCAGCTTCCCTTCCCCACTCGCCTCCATAAAGATAAGCTGGAGACTGAGTTTGCCAAGTTCATGGCAGTGTTGAAGCAGCTCAACATCAGCATACCATTTGTGGAGGCACTGTCGAAGATGCCCAAGTACGCGAAGTTCATGAAAGATCTCTGCACCAACAAGAAGAAACTAGGAGATCTCTCGACAGTGCTGCTGAGCGAGGAATGTTCTGCCATCCTGCAGAACAAGCTGCCCGAAAAGCGCAAGGATCCAGGGAGTTTTACTATCCCTCTTACTATTGGCAGAATGCATATAGGAAAGTCCTTGGCGGACCTAGGAGCTAGCATCAATGTCATGCCATATAAATTGTTCAAAAAGCTAGACCTAGGTGAACTTAGCCCTACTAGGATGAGCATTCAGCTAGCTGATCGTTCTGTGGTGCATCCTAGAGGTATCATAGAAGATTTGCTTGTTAATGTGGGTGCATTCACATATCCTGTTGATTTTGTTATTCTGGATATAAATGATGATGTGGATGTGCCTTTGATTTTGGGTAGACCATTTCTTGCCACCGCCAAGGCATTGATTGATGTGCATGATGGTAAACTGATCTTGCGTGCTGGAAATGAACAGGCTGTTTT